TATCAGAAAATTTGAGGTGGTTAGCAGCTGGTCCAAGCATGGCAGTGCCATCATATAGGAGCTATCTTATTAATGGTGTCAAATTTAACACCAAGGCACGAGATGATGTGCGAACTGTCCAAAATAGTGGAGTTTATTTACTTGCACATACTATGCAAGTTGCTAGTGCCAAGGATAAAAACCCTATTGTCTCCAATATGGGTTTTTATGGGGTTATTCAAGAAATTTGGGATCTTGACTACCAAAAGTTTAGAATCCCAGTCTTGAGGTGTGATTGGATAGTTATGGAAGAAGATGTAGTAGTTACTTTGTGTTTGCTTGAGAAGTACTTTCCCCTTCATTCTTTGATATCATGGTTCATCTAGTAGTACATCTTGTCAGAGAAGTTCGTCTATGTGGGCCAGTATATTTTAGATGGATGTATCCGTTTGAAAGATATATGAAAGTGCTAAAGGGGTATGTTCAGAATCGTACTCGTCCCGAAGGTTGCATTGCTGAGCGGTATATAGGTGAAGAAGCTGTAGAGTTTTGTACCGAGCATTTATCTGATGTTACTACAGTTGGAGTGCCTTCAAGCCAGAAGATGGGAGTTTCAAAGCCATTATCAGGTTGCACAGTCAGCTTAGTTGATATGGACTTGTTGAACCAGGCACATCTATATGTCTTGGAGAATACGGAGGAAGTCCTACCTTATATCGAGTACGTATGAGTTTAATTTTTCATATGTAGCCATTTTAAATATTATTACTCCTTATGTTTATCTTATATACAAGGGACCGTAATGCGTGTTTTTTTCGTGTCAATTGTAGGGAACATATGATCCACATCAAGACCACTTATCCAAAATTTAGAACGAGAACAAAGTGGCTACAAGATAAGCACAATAGCACTTTCATTCAATGGCTACGTTTTAAGGTATATATGTTATTGAATGACATATTGAACTTTTAATTTTCTTTCTTTCTATATGTTAGATTGAATTAAGATATATGTTTAATTTGCAGGTTCAAAGTGAATTTAATGGGGAAGACAATAATGGCATATCAGAAAATTTGAGGTGGTTAGCAGCTGGTCCAAGCATGGCAGTGCCATCATATAGGAGCTATCTTATTAATGGTGTCAAATTTAACACCAAGGCACAAGATGATGTGCGAACTGTCCAAAATAGTGGAGTTTATTTATTTGCACATACTATGCAAGTTGCTAGTGCCAAGGATAAAACCCTATTGTCTCCAATATGGGTTTTTATGGGGTTATTCAAGAAATTTGGGATCAAGACTACCAAAAGTTTAGAATCCCAGTCTTGAGGTGTGATTGGATAGATAACACTTCGGGCCTTGTAGTCAACGAACTTGGATTTACCCTTGTAGATCTGAGTAAAATTGGACATATGAATGACCAATTTGTTATGGCTTCTCAAGTCAAACAAGTATTTTATGTTGACGACCCAATGCATCGTGGTTGGTCGGTAGTGTTATCAATGCCTAATAGAGAATATAATGATGTTATTGGTGATGATGTGCTAGGTGATATTAGAATTGAGTGTGAGCCATTTACTAGAGGGATACCAAATGTTGACACATTTGATGACCTAGTGGGTGAGTTTGGGAGTGAGAATATTAGAGATGGGTGTGAAGATATATGGATTGATTGATTGTTGTAATTTATGACATTAGTTATGCAGTTAATTGTATGACATTAATTAATAGCTCTGTATATCATTTTAATTCCGATCACATTTTCATTCTGCAGGCTTTGGGCATGACAAATCAAAAATTAAAAATACTGGGTTAAAGTGGAAAATATGACGGTCAAGTTACAAACATCGCAAAAAGAGACGTTTAAAATATAACCAACGTCGGGTTTCTACAAATGACGTGCAATTCCAAAGCAAAAATCAAATAAAAACCGCCATTTGAAAAAGAAAACACGTCAGTTAATTAAAATTAATTTAAACAAGGCTAATAAATATTACCAACAACGACGGTAACGAAAGGGATTTACAACGTACACTAATGAATAACTTAAACCGACGAATTTAAAGATAATACTACTTCCACCGATTGAAAATTACCGACGTAAAAACAATGTTGCACGTCCGTTACAATAAAACAATTGACGTCTCAGACAGAATACACACGTCAAACGGGGTTATAAAAGGGACTTATCAAAGACCAACGACGTCAGGGAATAAACAAACCACCGACGTAGTAAGTTATATAACAACGTCAAATGATTTGATACTTGGGACATAGTAAAGCTCTTAACCACGATCCGTATTTAACAATCACTGACGTCAAATCCATAATTCAAGTCGTTTCCTTTCTTCTTAACGACGGTTAGGCTATAACAAACCGACGTAGTACATAGGTAACCACGTCGCAAAATAGGACTCGTAGGCCATAGTAAATTGTCTAACCATGACGGATATTTTACATTAACCGATGTTCAAAATTAAATCCACGTCGTTTATTTTTCTGTTCACGCCGGCAAAATTACTTTCAACGTTCGTGTTGACCAAAAGGGTCGTGGTTAGAAGTTTGTGACGTCAGTTCTAAGTAAAGATATGCCATGTTAAATTTTTAAAACGTCTGTTTTGTTAATAAAAGCGACGTCTAACCTTGTCCAAAAGTGTGTTTTTATATGTTAAATTTGCCAGGTTATATGTTTTAGACGTCATTTTTATTACTTAGTGAACGTAGTATATGTGAACCACGACGGTTTCTACGTTTTACACGTCGGTATTCTTTAAATTACGGACGTGGATAATCGTTTTTACGTCATCTTTTTGGTTGTTCTTGACATTTAACATTCTTTAAACGTCCGTGTTATAATAAAACCGTCGTCTAATATAGTCGAAGTTTTCTTTTTAAGCTTTTTATGTATGAATTAGACGTTGGTTTTAATTGTTTTACAACGTGGAATGTATTAACGACGTCGGTTATTTTCCGTCGTTATTTTATGTATAAAAAGATGGCGGTCAATTTCACGTCGGTTTAAAAACATGCTACACGACGGTGGATTCTTGTCGTCTATTTCAATTTTTGTAGTAGTGCTAGAGTAGGTCTAAGGTTTCTGAAAACAAAACATAGTGATTTAATGGAAACATTTGAAAGAAAATCGATCCACATTATTTTAATAACTTGGAAAATAATTGTAAAAATTATCTTAAGAAACAGAGTGCAAAATGAAAACATCAACCAGAATAAATCATAAACCTAACACAAGCACAAGAAGAGAGAGTGGAAAAAGAACAAGAAAATGAAGAAACAAATTAGCAGATGCAATACCCATATGAAAATTTGAAGAAAATTTCTATAGAAATGAATGGCGTGGATGAGAACGAATGGCGTCGATGGCATTGCAGCATCGATGGCATCAATGTGTTGCAGCGTCGATAGTGTCGATGGCATCGCAGTGTCGATAGCCTCGATGGCATCGTTGCATCGATGTCATGGCTGGTAGGTACGTATGAGGAGCATAGAGGTGAGAGATGGAGTGTCTCAAATAGCTCAGGAGGGTTTCAAGGAGAGAGAGATAAGGTTTTCAAAGACTCATGGAAATTTGAATTTCAGGTCAAGGGCGAATTTACTTAAGCAACACCTTTTGTTTAGCTTGTTTTAAAAGACGATGCTTACTAATTGACAAGCATCGTGTTTTAAAAATCAACCCAATGCAACTCCATTTTTGTAGTGTATAAGATGATATACCACGACGGTTTTGTAAAAACGTCATCTTTTAAAACACAACGACAGTTTTAAGGTGCACTGTCGTCTATTTTGAGTCGTGGTTTAACAACATTGTAGTAGTGAAAACTCGTTGAGGACAATTTACGATTGTAATGAATAAACTATGATTTCTTATGTTTTATTATGTCTTGAGTTTGAATTTTTTATTGTTTATATTTTGAGAGAGGTCCCTACACACATGAAATCTTGGCTTCGCCACTAGGTAGAGGTGACTTCTTTTGGAACCTACTTGAAATGATGTCGTTTGTTTCCAATCAATGTGTGATTAGGAGTAGATCCCTTTCCCATGTGCGCTTGAGAGCAATTTCCTCCAATAACCTTCGATTTTGTTCACGTGTCATTACATTAATTGGCTGGTGAAATCTTGGTACCACAACATTTAGACAATGACCAAATGCTTAGCGACCGAATATCATCTAATAAAGTGATAATCGATTTTAACATGTTTTGTGTTTAGCAATATACAATTGATTAAGGGTTAATGACACAAAGAACTTATATTGTCAAACTCGAGATAAGCGTGTGGCATATGTTAATGTATAGCTCCCATTATTAATTCCATGCTCACAAATCATTCATCCGATATAGTGCTTTCCCAGTTGTGCAGGAGAAATTTCAAGTATCTTTCATAAATATCGCGTGTGGAAGTTGTGCTGGGAGTAACAAGAGACCATCACACACTGATTTATTTCTAGCAAAAGCTAATGGAAAAGAAAAGAAGAATAGCTAGCTGTTTTGATCCAACACGCCTCATATGCATGTACATGTTTTTAGTGTTTGCTTGTTTGGCCTGCACTAGCTACTTGCATTCATTCATATCACCGTGATATGATAACGTATTTAATTCTGAATATATATTTTAACAACGACTTTTTACTAAAAAAACGATTACATGATTGTGCAGTCTTGTCTGAATTTTATAATTCCTACGCTTTATACTATATGTTTGGATGACTTTCTTTTCTCGACGAAACATCTTTTGGCTATGCCCCCTGCAATTAATATTGGAGTCTTTTAATTATGATCTTCCATATCTATCAACATTGAATATATATTACAATAATCTTAGTGGTACAACAGCAACCCCCGTAAGAATATTACAATAATATTAGATTGATAAAATTAATCTTATAGTTACTGAGATGCATAAAACCTTCTTGGTAACCCATCACTCTCATTCGATATTAGAAACACACTTAAAGTGTGCATGAAACAGTACAGTCACGTACCTACTTAGAATTTAGAGCATTCAGATTGTAGTTACTGCATACCCAACAAGAATAATACGTAAAGAAATCAACTTGGGTACATTTGAAAATCACGCACATAAGCCAAAATCATGTATATAGGGTCAGAATTAGGAGACACTTTTTGACACAAACTATAACCCACTTGATTAGCCAAAATCATCTCTAAACTTTCCTTTTTTTCTTAATTTTCTTAGGAAAAGTTATAGAGCCCAATTTCTATTTCTATTGATTTTTTTGGGGGAAATTCACTTGCTTGGCGAATTTAATTTGTTTGGTAAATTATTTTTTCCTTTTTATTTTTTATAAATCTCTGTTCTTGGTTCATAACACCGTACAACAAATATTAGTTTTGGGTAATTTTCATGGGTTTGGCAAATTCCAAGTTTATATCACAGCAATATTTGGATTCTTTAATGTTATGGAAGGTTGTAATATTTTGCAATGGTTGTTCAATAATTTTAATTGTGGTGGGGGAGGAGGAGGAGGGTTGGTGGTGGTCGTGACGAGAGAGGTGGCTAGGCAACTTGGTGGGAAGGTGGGAATGGGGAGGGAAAAATGCCTCTCCCTTTCTTCTATTTCCAGCATTTGTTTTTGCACCGAAATTCTCCTTGACAAGTAACGGTAGTTACTCGAGTTTGACATAAATTGGAGACTGTTCTTGAATTGCTTAAATTCAAAGCCACAAGGGTAATAACGATCAAATTGAAACAACATGGACCTTAGTGGTAAAAGCGGTAAACCACATAGACCCAAACTAACTTTTTGCCTAGTTATTAATGTTATTTTGATGAATTTGTATTCATTGTTTCTGGTCGAGGAGGTATTTCATGAGGTGTTATTATGGAAAGAAAGTTTCATTTGTATCGACTTCAAATGCTTGTGTATATCGATCAGTTTGTGTTGTCTCCCCAAAGTTAAACTCACTACTACAAAAAGTGAAAAAGACGACCAGAAAAAGACGACGGTAGAACATAAAACCGTCGTTGTGTTTAAAAAGACAACGGTAACAAAAACACCGTCGTGGATAAGTGCCTTAAACAACTAAAAAATGGAGGTACTGTTGAATATTTTTTAAAAACAACGCACACAAATAAAAAAGCGTCGTCTTTTTTTGAATATTTTCTTCAGAGTTAAAATCTGACCAAAAAACAACGACAGCAGGTATGAATCCACCGACGTAGAAAATAAAGACGACAGTTCACCAAAAAACCTGCCGTGTTAACTCCTAACTAAACACGACCAACTGTTCTTAGTCCGCGTCTTATAATATAATGGAATCCACGTCGGTATACTACGACGGTGCCTTATCTGTAAACTGCCGTCTTAATTTTTATTTCTTTTTAAGATTTAATTATTTTTTAATTTTGGTGGCCTACGAAAATTAAAATGAGATCCCAAGAGGTATGATATCTTACCGTTGGGATCTTTGGATCCTGATCATAATCGAACCACCAAGTGAGAAAGACAATATTTTAAATACACAAAATCCAAAAAGAAACCAGAACTGAACTGACCAAAACACATAGCCTTAAACAACTAAAAAATGGAGGTACTGTTGAATATTTTTTTAAAACGACGCACACAAATAAAAAAGCGTCGTCTTTTTTTGAATATTTTCTTCAGAGTTAAAATCTGACTAAAAAACAACGACAGCAGGTATGAATCAACCGACGTAGAAAATAAAGACGACAGTTCACCAAAAAACCTGCC